TGGACGCCATGTGCCATCTTTTGGTTTTCAACGTCATACAACTTGTGGCCTTCATGGAGTCCATATACCCCATCATGACGCATAATGTTGCCTTGGGGGCCAGCTTGTTCCGGCGTTCGGGTTGTTTCACGAGCTTGAAGCACTTGCAGCCGAACACGCGCATGTTGGTCAGGGAAGGTGAGTGCCCGCTGAAGAGCTCGATCGGCGTCTTCGTGCACTTTGTTGTTTGTAGGACGCGGTTGCAGATGAAGGTCGCGGTGTTGACGGCTTCGGCCCACCAGCGTTGGACAAGTTTCGCGAGGGTCAGCATGGCTTTGGCCATCTCCATCAATGTAAGGTGAGTGCGTTCGGCCACTCCGTTCAGCCATTGCTTCCCTGCGGACGATGTCTCGTGTTTGATGCCCATTGTTTTGAGTAGGTGATCAAGTTCCGAGGACGAGTACTCGGGGCCGCCGTCGGAGCGGAACACCTTGGCCTTTTTGCCCGTTTGGCGTTCAGAGAAGGCCAAGAATTCTTGCAGGTTGGTGGTTTGATCGACTGCGTTGGTCGAATGGATGAACTTGACGATCTTGTAGCCCGTGCAGTCGTCGATGTACGCCGTATAGTACCGGCAGCCGCCGACTGACGCGACAGGTAACGGTCCCTTGGTGTCAGAGTGCCAGCACTCGCCGAGCTTGTAGGTCCGGGTGCTGCGTTTAGGGACGGTCACGCGGTGCATCTTGGGGCGGGGGCAGTCCATTCACGGCTTGGTCAAGTCGCTGATGCGAGTTGGCAGCCCTAGGCCAGCCTTGGCGCATACGCGCAGTGCTTCGACGGGCAGATGTTCGATGCGGTGGTGCCACAGCGCAGTGGTGTCGGCGGTGACGGCAGAGTATGCTGCCTCGTGGTTAAAGACCCCGTCCAGGATGTATAAGCGCTGATTGTTGTTCATTGTAGCGTGCGTCACGGACTGGGAACCGAGCAGAGTCGTACACGCGTCGCGTTGGAATTCCACACGGACTTTGGAGTTGGCCCGCATCAGCGCCGGGATGGACAGGAGCGTTGTGGACATGCCCTTGATCTAGAGCACGTCGGTCAGGGTGAGTGTTGTGTGTGAGGGTGTGCTGATGTTTAGCTTCCCCATCGTAGTAGCGACGGTGACGTTGCCGTTGACCACGACGACTTGGCGGTTGCCTGGTTTCGTGTCGAACAAGTGCTCACTGGCGCCGGTCATGTGTGCGGACGCGCCAGAGTCGACGACAATGCGGTGTTCGATGGTACGTGCGTCACTGGCTTCGACCGAATATATCATGTCGTTGGCGTCGCTGTCGTTGCTGCCTTCGTAGGATGAAGCGACTTCGAAGTCGGCCTCGTGCTCGTCGTCACTGTCCATGGTCGCTTCGTATGGTCCTCCGGTTGAGTGGACGAACATGTGGGTCGTTGGTGGATGTGGATGTCGTTCGCGTTGTCCACGTACGTGTATTCCGGTAAGTAGAACTCATGGTCCACGATATATGACTTTTATGCGTCCGGTCCTAGCCATAGACTGTATTCTTCGGCATCCCGCGGTCGGCAATCGATGGCTCGAACGTCATACTTGGTGATCAGGTATCGGTGCGACAACCATGGCGGGGTCGGCAACCATGGTGATGTCCATGATCGGTGTGGTGTGGTACATTGTCTCAAGGTCGGTCCGGCTCATGAAGGTAACCCATGTTGGCGATGGGCTGCCATTGACAAACACCAGTCCCACTGGCTGAAGTGTAGGGTGCCAGTCGGGGTCGGTGCGGAGCGGGAGAGCTTCGCTGGGTTCTCCCATGTAGATGGGCCCGTTGACAACGGCCACGTCTTGGGTAGGTTTTTCGTCAGGCTCTTCGTTGTCCTTAGTCTCATTGTCGGACACTTCTTGACTTAGGGCGATCATGTCGATGCCACTCTCGGTTGCCGAGAACATGAAGACGACCGCGTTGGAGTGGTCGTCCTTCCCGTCGGGCCGGTGTCCTTTGGGGTTCGGCCGGCCGTTCTTGCGGGTCTTCTTGCGTCACTCGGACTGCCAGTGTCCTTCCTTGCCGCAATAGTGGCAGGTGCCCTTGGCCGCGGAACG